TTCTCCTCCCCCTCTACTCTGCCCTGGTGAGACCCCACCTGGAGTCCTGTGTCCAGTTCTGGGCTCCCCAGTTCAAGAAAGATGAGGAACTCCTAGAAAGAGTCCAGAGGAGGGCAACTAGGATGATAAAGGGACTGGAGCACCTCCCCTACGAGGAAAGGCTGAGAGAGTTGGGCTTGTTCAGCCTGAAGAAGAGAAGACTGAGAGGGGACCTTATCAACACATACAAATATCTTAAGGGCGGAAGTCACGAGGATGGAAGCAGTCTGTTTGCAGTGGTGTCCAGTGACAGGACTAGGGGCAATGGGTGCAAACTGAAACATAAGAGGTTTCAGTTGAATATGAGGAAAAACTTCTTTACTCTAAGGGTGACAGAGCACTGGAACAGGCTGCCCAGGGAGATTGTGGAGTCTCCTTCTCTGTAGATATTCAAAGCTCGCCTGGATAAAGTCCTGTGTAGATTGCTCTAGGAGAACCTGCTTTAGCAGGGGGGTTGGACTAGATGATCTCCCGAGGTCCCTTCCAACCCTTGCGATTCTGTGTGATTCTGTGTGTGATATCCTACATCCTGAAGTAAGGCACATTTTACTCGTCCCGCTTCTTGGGGTACGAATCTCCCCAGTTTGTTCCAGGGACGAAACAAAACCAGTAACTATTTTATGCTATCAAGACTGCATAACAATTTCCAAAGTTAACAGACCTAGAGCAGAAACTGGTCTTTAAGCTATTCCTTCTAATTGTCAGGTTATTTCCTTGCATTTATTATTGTTAATAATGCCATTCCATTGACCTTTACATAACTCTGTTAGATTGATACTGTGAAAATAATCTTCCACCACTTGCTCACTAGAAACAAGTTCCCAGACTACCTAGGAATGATTTAGATGTCTAAAGCATAGGCACAGAGTGCCATTTGATATGTCCTAGGATATCCTGCCTGCTGTATCTCCAAAACAAAAAATTCCACAGGTTCTGGCATCGTATTTATCAGTTCTGTACGGATGTCTCAAATACCTAGGGCTATCTGAAACAGCACTGGGTACAGCGTTAAATGATATGATCAAAATGATGCGCGATGATGCAGCGAATACTTCACTCGGCATGCATTAGGAGCTGCAGCTGCTGCCACTTCTGCTGTCACCAGCGTTAGCACATGAACTAGGAAACCTGCGAACCCGCATGTGTACACAAACGAAGTCACTTTTCAAGCACATTCATTAGCAAAAAAAACATCACTGATTTGTGTCCAAGATGCAAATATACATCCTAAAGGAAGTACTTATTTTTTCACAGAAGTTTTCCAAGTTTCTTTTAGAATGCTATGACATGATTTCATAAATTTAATCATAATGGATTCTGCCAAGTACTACTGTATTTCTTTTTATAAATTAACTAATATTATTGGGTGAAGGAGCTGTGCAACTTTTTTTGGACTTCAGTTTTGTTTTCAATTTCAGTGAAGTATTTCACATTATTTACATTGCCTTATTTCATACCTGACTTGATACTCCACTTCAAGAAAAACATTTGCTTTAGGAGAACATACGGTTCAGTGATTTACCTACTACTCTTATTATTAATAATTTAAATTCAACAAATAGGACAAAAGTAAGGGATATTAGGACAAGATCTCTATAATAAATTTTTTGCTAAATTGAACTGAAGGATACTTAGATTTTACTACCCACACTGACTGTAATTTCACAGTTAAGAGGCTATGCTGCTGTATTACTCCTAAGGTGTACTGCTTTGAACAGTGTACCGATTATACATTATAATGCTTCTACGTTTGAACTAATAATTTCATGCAGAGACTTATAAGCCATGCAAATCAGGCTACAATATTATCCTTCCAATTACTAGAGTTATGACGTACATCTCTTGTGTGCACGCATCTGTATTAGTTTGTGGGTAGCTTAAATTTAATTTTGCTTTTGCGCAGTTTCAAAAAAAATGTAAAGTAAAATGGAAATATGAACTCTCATGCAAATTAGTTTTACTACTTTCCTATTAAAATGACATCACATAACTTACATTTAAATATATAGTATGCTTTGAAGTATAAATACATGTTTTTGCCAGTTTTAATTTCCAATTATTTTAAAAGTAAGAAAAAACAGTGCAAACCTGTAAGTGAATGATATAATTTATGAGTTAGTTTTCAGCAATGGTAATGACAACAGGTAGCATTATTTTTTAGTTTTTTATAGTGCAAATTAGTCTCTAGTCCTAGCCCTCTGTTAAGAAGGCATGTTTACATGAGAGCCCACATACGTGCTGCATTCACCAGTTCTTGATGTATACCTCTGTATACAAGGATTCGACAGCCTTCTGGCCTGCCGCATCTGGAACACAGTGCAAAGCTAAGATTAGAGTAACCTATACTTGGGGAAAGAAGAGAAGAGAGGGAAAAAGAAAGAAGTGATGCAGACAGTAATAGCTAGATTGCTCAGTTAGCCCCACAAAAAAAGCATACACAAAGAAAAGTTATCTGCATAGTTTCATTCCCCCCAAAAGAAATAAAATTTATGGAAGGAAGTTTTATTTAAAAGCATGAAGCAGCTCCCAGCTGCAAAAAAAATAATTTAGAGCTTCGATTGTTTTAACAGAAACAACATCAATGCAAATGTGTAGTCAAAAGCCAGACTTAAATTACTAGATTTCAGGTTATGGGGGTAATGATATATTCAGCTTATTATAACATCCCATAGCCAGAAAGTGAAAACCATAGCCTGCAATATCTCAACTGTAAAGCATTCCAATTGTTAAACCTGGACATACCTGGAGACACTGTGACACTACAGCGACATTCACTATTCACAAGCTGATGTACTTTGTACTGAACGTCTAATACACTTTAAATGCAAGTACGCACAAAATGTTGGCATCCACATGGCTTCACAAATATTAATATTTGTCACAGTGCCTCAGTTCAATAATGCCAGATGGTGTTCACGCTACGTTTCCAACAGCAAATGCTAATTCATGCGAGCAGAGATCTCTTAGAGAAGTTACTTTAAATTTGGATCTGTATCTGCATATACAATAAACTATCAACAATAATGAATGACAAATCAGTAGTGAGAGCTGTTAAAAACAAATTAGGATATTGTCATTTGATTGCAAAATTCAGCAATTAGCAGAAACACCTCGCAGGAATTAGAAAGTTTCAATTTTACTTCCAAACTAGTAGCAGCATAGTGACAAAGATCATACTACTCAGAAGAATTTTTCTAGGTTAGCACTTGCATTATCTACACGTTCAGGACAATACAATGCACAAAGTTACATACATGTAAGAGTAAGATAAGTGCTCAATTGAAAATGCAAAATATTTTCTGCCAGACTGTATGAAAGTTCATGCAAACATGCCACGCTACTACAGGACAGGATAGAGGACAGGAGAAAGGAAAAAATAACTAGAACTTCATGTGCACAAGTGAACATCAACTAATCACATTTTCTCTGAGGTTCAGAATAACATACGGAAGCTGCTGATCTCCCAGGTCCCCGCTGTGCTACAATGGCCCCAGAAATTGCTTTTATCCAACTGTGCATGTCTTCTGGACTGTCAGCCTGGATCAAACAATATGCATTATATTTAACATAATCAACTCTCAACTTCCCCAGTGTCCTGACCAGCTGCATTAAAATGGCAGCCTTACCCGACTTTAGTAGTCTGTTATTTAAAGCCATAGGGATTTCCACTTCTTAACCCAGACATTTCTTAAAATCTTACCCCAAATTTACTAGTATGTGTATATAGTTATATAAAATAATAAGCAAGAAGTAAGTATTTTTATACTGTTTGCATACTCTGGACTCAAATTTTTACTTTCAGCAAACAAAACCAACATTAAAGTGCCCACAGAAATTCTTACAGGAGATCTGCTGACCCCTCTTAGCATTGGCCAATGACATAACTTCTGTATTTTTCAGTCACTGTTGCACTTTACTTCTGTGAGATATTTGCTGAAGAGTTACAGTAAAATAAAAATCAGTCTCTGTCAGGGGTCAGCTGTACATTTACTTAGAGAACAACAATCCAACAAAGATGCAACAGATTAAGAGTTAATACCAAGGGTGCGCATATTTGGGATAAATACAGATAAAAAGCTAAAGCTATCTCCTAATTAGGTTGCAACTTTATTAAACTAGCACATCCACCCAGCAAGAAACATCTGCAACATGTCACTTAATTATGTTCAGCTATAGGACAGCTCTTAACTCAGCACCTGGCACCACTGCCTGTTTTAGACTATATTGGCCTTTCTGATTCTATACGAGAAACTCAAAAGTTATTTCCAGTACTATAAGCATCACATTTCCTTAGAGATAGGAAAAGCAAGTCTTTGATTTGCATTATATCCAAACATTTAAAAGATAACATGGTAAGGCTGCAGTGAATAAAGTGCATAAGGATAGATATTACCACATAGGTACTGAAATCTAAATGTTCCTGTGCTTTAATAGGTATTTTAATGTGGCAACTAACTTGACTCTGAGAACTCAATATATAAAAATTCAGTACTTCTAAATAAAAGATTTAAAATATTGAGTGATCCTACAGAATTTGAAGACCCAAATGCCAACAAAATCACATCAGGATTTATTGTTTATTGCTTTCATACACTACCAACGTAACAGTTGCTGTTATGTGGAATATTTCTTATATGCATCTTTCTGAAACATAATGAAGATCACATTCTTTGAAAATTATGGGACAGTTAAATACAACTTAAACAGCAGTGCTCTTTGCTTGGCCTATGGCAGTCTTCTGGTTTTGCTCAAAGTTTAAAAAAGAAATTACCTGTACGTAAAAGGTTCGAGAAGTTGTTACAATTTCAAAGAGATTGTCTCTCATCATTATATCACTGTAAATGAAACACAAAAATACTTCAACAGCAAGTACAACTTTCTATTTTAAAAAGACTCTAGGATGTGCAGAGAACCAGAGCATTTCTTACCTGAAGACCTTCACATTTCTTTATCACTCTGCTGTTGTTTTTTTGGTAAATACCAGGTAGAAAAAGAAAACCAACATCTCTTACTCACTTTAGTCCTAAGACTCTGTAGTTTATCAGTGCATGTGTGCTACTATATATATATCTTTAATTGTAACATTCTAAACCGTATCATGTTAAGTTTAAAAATACTTATTGTTCTAGTAAAATTTCTGTAAAATTTCACATATATATTTTGTTATGTCTTTGCAAATTACTAGTCCTAAGCAGTAGCCTGATAAACTACTACAAAGGCAATTAATTCCGTAGTACATTGCTATCTGGTGGGAGGAAAACAGCAGGAAGAAGAGCGTTCTCATCTAAATTCAGACATTTAATGTAAGGTAATATCCTCTAAAGCTTTAGAGATTATACAAGCAGAATAGAGACTCCTAAAATTGGTGCCTCAAATCAGACAGCACCCATGCATCTCTAACTCATGATTGCATGATACTCCTTTGTTCCACCCTTGTCCAATGCATTTGCATTCTACTGAATGTTACAAGTTTGAAACACACACTAATGCAGAACCCTCAAAACCAGTTTTATGCAGAAAACTACTTGCTGTCCTGTAAGTAAAGAGTATCACACATCCATACATCAACCCAAGTTATTAAAAAGTTCTCCACTGTTTCCAATGAGCAGTCTAGCCATGACAAAGCAGCATACTACATCCCAGGTAACCAGATCAGTGCTTCTCTCCTCACCTTTGTTTGCATTCCTGAACTTTATGGACCTCCTTAAGTGGTATAACCCTGAGAGGTTCCTTTTCCTGAAAAGAAAAAAAAAAAAAAAAAAAAAAAAAGCAAAAATATTTCAGAAGAGTATATCTAACAATTCAAATATAGTCAAAAAGCCAGAGATCAGGACAGCTGACAGCAACAGTCACTTATGCAAAAGCTGATGTCAACCAAAATTTAATTTGTTTTTCTAAGTATTAAACCAACCATTGCACTTAGAACAAAGACGTGAAATGAAGAAGTAAAAACCCCAAAACATTCAAGACAACCCCTCCACCCCCTTCCCCTAACTAGATCAGAGAATTGAATCTGGCCTCAACCAGCTTATTTCAGTAAAACCATGACTATATGCATTTGCTATGCAATATTACAATACAAGATGCTTTGTTAATGGTACTGCATGACATGGCTTTAAATAAGATTAATTGTATCCTATGCTCAGTACAACTAAAAATAATACAAAGAAATCAATCGTACCAAAACATGTAAAAGAATAAGTGCTCTTAAAGCATAAGAATTCTGTTGCCATAACAAAAATGTTACAATTCTGTCAAAGTTTCACACAACAGGAAAAAAAAAAGTGAGAACATCCAAACAGAAATACTTTTGCTGTGACAATGTGATGTCATACATACTGCTATTATCCTGTGGTTGTTGCAGTAAAACACAATTAACCAACAACTTATTTTATCTCCGAATGTGTTTTCTTTAAGCCATGTTACAAGGGACTACTTCAGTTGCCTTCAGCTTACAGACAAAACAAAAGCTGTCAGCTCTGGAATGACTACTTTCTCTTCCATTTCTATTACATATACTTAAAGAGACTTATGTTGTTATATCAGACAGCAAATGTCACCCAAATATAACCATCCTCAAATGTCAGTTTTCATTAGATCACTTGTCTCTATAGGGGATCAAATGCAGAGAGTTTAAAACTCAATGTTTTCAGTTACTTTGCCCCTCTTCCCCACTCTCCCCTCCCTGCTCTTCCTAGGTTCACACTCATTCATTACAACAGAGTTTTCAAAGTAATACATCAAATGTGAGCTGCAAGATCATCCCTGGAGTACAGACACCTGCTGCAGGGAAGACCTCAGCTCAGAAATCATAAACTTCTGAGCCTGATATTGCCTGTATTCCATTATGTTCCACCCGAAGACTGACATGGGCCATTCCTCAAACTGAAAGAGGAGAAATCATTAAGGGGGAGATGACACCAAAAAGCCACAACAAAAAAATCGCCAGAATCTACACATTTTTCAATTAAAAAAAAAAACCAACACAACATTGTTTTACATTTTTGAGAGCAAAGAACTCTGATATATTTCTACAGATGCAGAACAACAGCAGGTTGAGATATTCTGTAAGAGTCATCTGAAGTACTGGTGAATAGGGTGGCTGTCAAGACAAACTAACTTCAAGAAAGAGCCATACTTGACTGAAGACTGCAGCTGTTGGGAACTGAAGTCCAATAGAAAGAAATTTTCCAGGACTGCAACTCTGATGCTTCGCTAGCTGAATACAACCTCCACACCACAGCCGTCTTGACCACAAAGGCATGACAAACAGTCACTATTGAACTTTTTTCCTATCTTTGTATTACTGTCATTAGGAACAAGGGATTATTAGGGAAATGGAGATCCCACACATTGGTGAAAGAAATAATTCACCACTTGAAACCTTGAGCCCATCAGCGATGGTGGTAGTGCCTCTGGGATAACATATTTAGGAAGGGGAAACAAACCCCAAACTGTGTAACACCAGCAGCAGTCAGAAGAGAGGAGTGAGAACGCACAAGAGGAGCCACCCTGCAGACACCCAGGTCAGTGCAGCAGGAGGAGCAGATTGCCCTGAGCCCCGGGTGCAGCCCATGGTGGTGCAGGCTGTCCCCCTGCAGCCCAGGGAAGCCCCCAAGGGAGCAGATCCCCCCCTGCGGCCCAGGGAGGACCCGACGCCAGAGCAGGGGGGTGCCCAAAGGAGGCTGCAACCCTGTGGGAAGCCCACACTGGAGCAGGCCTGCGGCCCCATGGATAGGGATGGACCCATGCTGGAGCAGTACGGGGAGGACTGTCTGACGTGGGAGGGACTCCAGGCTGGAGCGGGGGAGGAGTGTGAGGAGTCCTCTCCCTGAGGAGGAAGGAGAGGCAGAGAAAGGTGTGATGAACTGACCCCAACCCCCATTCCCTGTCCCCCTTCGCCTCTGGCAGGAGGAGGTAGAGAAAATTGGGAGCAAAGTTAAGCCCAGGAAAAAGGGAGGGGTGGGGGAAGGTGTTTTAAGATTTGGTTTTCTCTCTCGTTATCCTACTCTGATTTAATTGGTAATAAATTAAGTTAATTTCCCAAGTCAGGTGTTTTGCCTGTGACATTAATTGCTGAGTGATCTCTCCCTGCCCTTATCTCAACCCATGAGCCTTTCATTATATTTTCTCTCCCCTGTCCAGCTGAGGAGTGGAGTGATAGAGCAGCTTTGGTGGGCACCTGGCATCCAGCCAGGGTCAACCCACCATGTAAGTGTATTTCTTTAGATTTTCTTGCAACTATCACTGGAAAATAACACACATTTGGAAACTTACCAGTTCAGACTTGAAATATCCTATTGTGTTTTCATCTAACTGAAAGTATCTTCTCTTCCAGTTCTTCATCTGTTAAAGAAATAATTATATATTGTATATATAAACATATACATATATGCTTGTATGTTTACATTTATAATCCTAGTTTAGAAAACATTATATTGTATAATTCTTATTTATAATTATTCATCTATAATATTTATAGTTTTTATATATTACCTCTATTTATGTGTGTGTTGTGTATATACATAGTGCCCCCAAAATAATTCTGCAAGACTGCCCATTTTTTTTTGAAAACTGCAAAAATTAAAAATTCAGGAAGATACTATTTTTTATTCTAAGAATTTTTCAACAATCTCCACTGAAACTGTAGCAACTCGGCAGCAAAAACCCGTAACAAATATTAAGACAGTACGTTAAAGGTTTCTAAGTTTATTTTTAACTAAAAAAGGAATTCTACAAAAAGAAGCATCAAAATCCAAGATAAAATGAGTCTGAGAACTCAAAGCGTACATATCTTGCTTAATCTGAACTATCCGTTTCTTCTTTTAGCAAGGCATCATGTGAATAGTTCCACTTGTGTTACTCAGTCTGAGAAGTTGTACAATTCTTCCTCTGAACTGAAAAATTAGCTTTTTCTAAATGTTTTAGTGATTTAAAAAGCATGCAGACATTGAACTTCTGCCTTTAGATGCTTCTAGTAAGCAAAATAAGGATCTCTACATAACTGTAAACAGAACTCCTAGTTGCACGCATTAAGCATACTGTGAAAGTCTCTGTGCACACAACTTCTCTCAAAAATATTTCCAACAACATAACACTGTAGAAAGTCATGAAAAGAAGAAATACAGACATGAATTACCTGCTACTGGAGGATAAGGTTTATCTTTAGCCACCCCAAATATTGTGTGTTACTGAAGTTACTGGTAATCATGTTTGTTTGTTGTTTTTAATCATCTACTTGGTAAGTACAACTACCACCTTAGGACCTTTGTTCTTGGTTAATGAAACACACTGATCTCAAATACTTACCACTGCTCCTTGTTTTACACAGTAGCCAGCTTTGATAATAGCATTATCTGGGGGATGCTTAGCAGTAAAATAAGGAAGGTGACTTTGTGACCGTTTCAAATAATTCCTATCACCCCCTTCACTGCACTCACTGATTTCTTCTTTCTAGAAAAAAGCAGGA